TTCATGTTCTGCTCTGTTACCCACTATCGCTTTCAAGGTACGCGATATAATAAAGCGTTTCTTGAGTTGGGAGTCCCCGAAAAGGAACTCTACACGATCTTCATATCGACCGATATGAATTTGCTTGAAAGTAAGGGTGAGCGGCAGCGGTCGAGTCGAAATCACTTGGCGATCTACTACTGAAACCCCTACTGAGAACCTAAGAAAAAATCAGCTTTGTCGAGCATGAAACCAGTTTACAACTTACGCTGATTCCATACGACGTGTTCCTTGAGATGAAGCTAGTTTGATGTCCAACAATGTCGAGTTTGAGAAGGGCTGCGAAGTTTTGATTGTCGCGGTCCGAGCTCTGTCCTGGATGTTCAGAGGATCGACGAAGCCAAAATCGAAGGTGCCTTCAATGACAAGTCCGTTCTTATCCTTTTCCGCCTCTCCCATGACCGACTTGTACTTCAGGTAAGTTTCTCGTGAACGGTGCTTGGAGCTTTCCGTGTGTGAGGTCCAGTGATTAAGAGTCACTGAAGCATGGCAAACATCGCAATGTCTGACACTCCCGCGGGATAACCCTGGCTGCCGTTCGACTTCTGCTGTTACACCCATGCGCGTAACCGCAGCTTGGTGTTTTCGTGTCGTGATATGGGCCGCCCAACCTATTTCCCCATTGTAGACGTTAATGGAACAGACAGGGCAAGAAATCGTGATGCCTCCTCCAGAAAGACGATTGAGATGCTTTTTAGATTTGATGTGCTGTTGATACGCGTCGTGGTCATGGAACAGGCGGCCGCATGGTTCACAATTTATGATGCTGTGAAAATAGGGGCATCCTGTATCAGAGCATGTGCCCCGGGACAGGACATTGGGGCAGTTTGTCATCTCGCGTTGAGGTCGATGGGCAGGAGGAGGGAGAAAATTGCAAACAAGTAAACGTAAACCTTGACCCTTTTTAACAGCTTCGCCAGTAGCCGTTCGCCACGTTCCTTTGAGAATCACCCTCCTGCCAACTAAGAGTAATCGAAGCACATGTGTGGGACAATGGAATTGCTACGGGTCTTAACAGTGGAGGTCAAATGGGAGCACAAGTTTCATTCCGGCAGATCGTGTTTGCTGAAAGGCTGATTGTCGGTCGGTTGAGTGTCGAGTAAGTGCATGGAGAAGAGGAGGATTGTAATAAGTCGAATAACTTGGATCAGAGAAAAATTGTTAGTAGATGGATTTCAAGCATCGAAACGTGAAGCCCGCGAGGAATAGAGTTCAACCAATTGTAGGCATGATGTGACAAAGAAGCAAGTTGTGGAATAGAGACAGATAAAGTTATATTGGATATCATGATTCACTGGGACTGAGTCTGCCAACGTCTCGAGCCGGTATTGCTATTGACCTGTTCCGTTAGATCAAAACAAAGTGTACCCATCCAGCCGTCGTCAATAACATCCGCCGAGTCTTACCCCACCTCGAACCATGGCATCCCGCGCGCTGAACGATGACGAAGTCCTCAGCGAGATGAACAAGATGGTGGGTGTCTATTCTGACGAGTTGCCCGATATGATGTGACGAGTTGACACCTGCACGCGCCGTATTCGCTGTTCTAACGATTCCGGTTTCTCCATTGTCTAGGTGGCGTTCATCAAGCAGGAGGCACTGGAGAAAGCTCGTGAGATTAGGGTGAAAGCTGACGAGGAGTTCGCCATTGAGAAGGTGAAGCCGCTGCGCCAGCACTCATGTTGCTCCCCTAATTCCGTATCGGGTTGCAGGCCAGACTCGTGAAGCAAGAGCAACAAGCCATTGATGCTCAATACGAGAAGAAGCGCAAGGGCGCCGAAGTCGCACAGAAGATGTACGTGCCCTGTTGACGGATCGCTGCCTTCCCTAACTTATTACCTCGGCAATCCAGTGCTCAATCCACAATAACGAACAAGTCCCGTCTAAAGCTCCTTCACAAGCGAGAAGAAGTTCTGCAAGAGATCTTCTCCGCCGTCCGTGAACCAACCGTCCCACTGTACAAGACCGACGGTCGCTATGAACAGTTCCTCCAAGGCACCCTCACTGAATCATTCCTCTACCTCCTCGAGCCCAAGGTCACTATCTTCTCAAGGAAGTCAGACGTCGACATCGTGAAACAGGCAGCAGCAACCGCCACGAAGGCGTACAAGGAGATCAGTGGACGAGATATCGAGTTTGAGGTCCAAGGAACGATCTCTGATGATGCGTTCGTCTTCTACCTGTGGATTACGCTGGACCTGGCTAATTTTGTTCTATTGCTGGATTTATAGGAGCCAGGGTGGCGTGAAACTCGTCAGCGGCACTGGGAGAATCACACTAGACAATACCATGGAAGAAAGGCTGCGACTGCTTGAAGACAAGGTCGTGGTTATTCCAATCCTTCGTCTCTCGAGTAACATCCATATGTTCGTACAGATGTTACCAGAGATCAGACAAGATCTCTTTGGGAAGAACGTGAACCGCAAATTCTATACATAAGGCTTTCCCTCTTTTGACTCTCTAATATCCTTGGCTACACTTCTCGTATTCGACGCTTCGTGAAACTTTGACTCGTATCCAGAAATCAGTGGCTCGAACATTGACTAATAAAAGAACGTTCTCCCCATATTACTATATGTCGGACTCTTCAGAGTCAATCACCATAACATGAGAGAATTACCACACACTCTAGCTAGGCTATGCAGATTCTGGATATTAAATAATTGCGCAATTGGCGGCATTACTTTTGTTGCGGAAACGGCGAATTTTCTAGTAGCTCATACATCGATACTCAATATTCAATGCTCAGTTAACCGGCGGGGTGCCCAGAGCCAAGATTGACCCGGTGGTATACTCTATATATGGCAAGCAATCCTTTCCTCAGAATTTGTTCGTTGGTCAGCATCACTCAGAACTTTGCAGATACCACGCCGAACTCATATATCTTCTCCGATCTCGACCTATTCGACCAATGAGTGAACTAGAGGGTAACCCCTGCCAGGTCACTCTTACGGTCGCATCCCTTGTGTCTATCATAAATCATTCTATCTGCCTTGATTCGAAGGGAACTCCGCAAGGACGACGTCTCGGAATCCTTCTGGGTCCAACTCACAGCGATCAGGATTTTCGAATCAACGCTATTTGTCCGTTCCCATCGGATTCCCTGGGTAGAATACACCATAATCCCGACTACGCACGGAAGATCCTGATCTCGTCTTCCTCGAACGGTGATGGTCGAGTTCTTGGATTGTAAGTCTTTCATCCACAACACACAAGCATTTCCCCAAGGTGAATTACTAAAGGCACTTATTTGTTTGCTAGATACGCCTCCGGACCCGAAGAGTCTCTGTCAGATTTTCAGGCCACGAAATTTTAGAACACTCTCCTCAGTCACAGAACGACCTGCGTCAAGATTTTTATTCCTAAGATTCAGTCATGGACGACCTCCTACGGTATCCATATTCACACGCACACCGGAGATATCGTAAGTTTCAATGCATACTTAGTACTTATTGCTGATCGACACCACTGTTAGATCGGATAGCCATTATACTGTTTGTGCCGCTATAATCCAGGCAGGCGAAATTCCATCTAGCCATAGAGACCTCCATTCATCATGCGAAAGCCTCGGTCGATTAATATATAAAGCATGCCGAAGGTTCCTTCTCGATCCTAGTCTCTCAGGCTCATTTGTTCCATACGTTCTGGCGCCGCTATCGAGAATTGGATTGCCGCCCCTTGGTTCCTGCGACATTCACCTCCCATCAGGCTGCTACAATGTCAGTTCATCACCTCACCTCACGTTTTATGCTTTGGCGATTTCGTAAATAAAACTAATCCTTCTCTCAGAATCGTGAGTGGATCCAGCACTACGTAAACATACTGCTCGAAAACAAACCGCCATCAATCTTGCCCTCCCTTCCGTCTCTTGAGAACTTCCCACTTCCGAACTGGGAGATCACTTCAATCGAAGGCAGTGATCCTTCCGACTCCAACGACTCAGGAAGATGGGAGACAAACTTGCGGGTAGGAATCACCTATTTCGAATTTCGATTCTGGGTCAAGCCAGATTCCTCTGAAGATACCTTTGAAAGGAAGAGCACATGGCTAAACCAACTCCTTCTTCGAGAAATGCCCGAGTGGGTTGTCCAGATGATGCGCTACTCTGGAGGGACGGGCATCGCGACGTCGAGTCCGGACGACTGTCGAGCTCCGAAGTGACGACAATGGCGTACAAAAGTTCACCTTCTCGCCGAGCGCATCCCAGAAATCGAACAGTGGCATCCAGTTGTGATAGACGAGCTTGCCCTCATTAATCGGAAACGGTTTGTCCGTCAATGGTTGTGGACCTGTGAGATAGATGGGACAAAGGCCGTCGCGAAGACATTCTCGTGGCCCGAGATGCAGCAATATATCGCGAGTGAGTCCGAGGCATACGCCGACTTTCCAACTGCAACTTCCTGCCCAAATTCCTCGGCCACTTGCAACGGAATGGGAGGGTTATCGGAATAATTCTGGACTGGGTCGAAGGTCATCACCCTACTGAGGAAGATATCCCTGCTTGCTTGAACGTTCTCGCAGAGTACAACCGCAAGGACTGCGCCATGGGGACGTTCATCCTAGAAACTTCATTATTTCTCCTAGGGGTGCTATCCTTCTTGATATTCAAGCTGTCCCATGGGACGAGAACAACCCTGAGGAATTGAGTAGGTTGCTGGAGCTGGATTATTCGGCGTGTGGAGTTCAGACTCGTGATTAATAAATGCATGTTTATCTTGGGTTGCTATTGGACTTGCAAGGCCGAGATCGGGGGAGAACTTGAGCTTGAAGTTGCACGTCCACTGTATCTCTCTTACTAGTACTATTTTATTTCTTTTGTGCGCAACTCCGAGTTGAAACGAAAGAAAAAGCTCTACTTCTTACAGCAGCACAATCACTGACTGCAAGAAGACTCGTGCCGAACCTCAATTGAAAATATCACGCTTAATAAAAATTAAAAAACATACGAGGTCCGCATTTAGTGCATTAAGAGGGAATCGAACCCCCGGCGGGTCGAGCTTACAATGGCAACGACCCAGGTTACCACTACCCCATTAATGCTCGTGGAAGATTGAGAGGGATGAATATAAAGGTTGAAGCCCTTTTTCAGGCATTTTATTTCCGGAATCTTTCATCGGACCCAACACTTCTGTGCCTACTTCTACTACTATACACAGTTTAGACTCAGTGTCATGTTTTCTACTCGACTTCTTTACCCCCATGGTGCACGTGGAGAGGTCAAGCGGGTCCGCAATCCCATCGGGCGTTGAGCACGGTGCAGGCCCCCGCATTTTTTGTCGTCTTTGTTCCATCATGTGAACCTCGTCCGTGCGTCTCCTTCCAGTACATTTATAATGGATGCCCTAAGAACCTTTGCGTGGCAGTCTCTTTGCTGGCACTCCTGGCTCCTTACGATGTGGACAGCTCGTGCTTTTCTCCAGCTCGCACAGTTGTTGTTTGTCGTTTTTCACCCCGCACTTTCTGCTCCACAAGCGTTCCCAAAATCTGGAAATGGCTTGTGGTTCACCCAACCTGGAGGCGTCTGGTCTCGTGGATGGCTTCCGATTGGGAATGGTTATCTCGCCGGTAAATCATCTCTCTTTTGAATTCGTCTACTTTTCTGAGTCTACGCCATAGCAATGGTACCCGGAGGAACGACTCAAGAAACGACTCAGCTCAATGTAGAATCCCTCTGGTCTGGCGGGCCCTTCGCTGACCCGGTATATCATCTCATGTGGTTGATTATCCGAATACTGACTTACTCTTGACCTAGTCGTACAACGGGGGCAACAAACAACCGTCGGAGAAATTTGCGACAGCTCAAATTATGCAGCAGATTCGCGAAACTATATTCCAAAGCCCAACTGGTGACATTGACAGTAAGAATGGTTCTTACTGCCCCCACTTCTCACGTCTGAAGTTCACATCGTGTCCATAAAAAAACGATTAGATATTGAAGCGCTTGCAACCGACCAGGGACAATATGGTTCGTCAAACTCGCTGCTCTGACTACACAAACCAATCGGTTTTATTCTTGTAGGTTCATACGCTGGCGCAGGGCATCTTCTTTCTTCTTTGAACGTAACAGGCGAAGTGACTAACTATGCCCGATGGCTGGATATGGACCAAGCTCTCGCTGGAACCGCGTGGACACAGAACGGTGCCAACCTACTTCGGTGAATTCAAAATATTCTTCGTCGTATTTCAAAAATTTTAATGTCCTAAAAACAGCACAAGCTTTTGCTCAAACCCGACTCGGGCTTGTGTCGAGCACATTACTACCTCCAACTCGAAAGCACTCCCAGATCTGACTTATGCATTCACCGCAGACTTGGAAGCGGGTCTCCCCGCACCTAACGTGACATGCTTGTCTAAGAACTCAATGCTCGTTAATGGATTTGTTTCCGAGTCTCCTCCTGGCATGGCATACGCCCTCGTCTTGCGCGCATTCTCTTCGTCTCCCAGCGCTAACTTCCAGTGCATACAACAACCTGTTCCATTTGGATTCCCTCCAAATGCTACAATCCAACTTTTGTCCTCTGCCACAAGTGCAACGAATGACGCGTGGGTTACATGGATGGGCGATACCGAATACGACATGAACGCGGGAGACGCTGCGCATAATTTTACATTCCGCGGTACAGACCCCGTCACGAAACTCCTCGGGGCAGACACCCAAGGTTTGTCTGACTATGAAGCTCTGCTGAATCAACACACCGCGGATATACGCGATACCCTATCTGCGCCTTTCGCCCTTGATCTTGGCCAAACACCTGCTCTCGACCAGCCGACCGATGTGCTCAAGGCACAATACAGTATCGATGGTCCCGCAAGTACTAATGCTTATCTGGACTGGGTCTTGTTTAACTACGGCCGATACTTGCTTGTCAGCAGCTCCCGTGGCCTTCTTCCTGCAAATCTCCAGGGAAAATGGGCTAATGGAGTAGGTAACGCTTGGAGTGCCGGTAAGTACTTTTGATCTGACCACTGCCTCGAATGTCCTTTATGCTTACTTTCTAATACCAGACTACCGTAAGGCTTTTTCCCATAGCCGCGCTTCCACTTACGACACTCCTTAACAGACTCGAATATTAACATTCAAATGAACTATTGGATCGCCGAAATGACGGGATTGAGTAATTTAACAGTCCCGTTGTTCGATTACTTCGCAGTGAGTCTCCAGGATCCCACAAATCTGTGCAGAATTGACTGTTCTCGGGGCTAGAAAACGTGGGCACCCCGCGGTGCAGAAACAGCACGGGTATTATACAATATCTCCCGTGGATGGGTCACACACGATGAGGTCTGTTGATCGACCTATTAAGAATTGTTACTGAACTGATTTTACTTCTTCCTTTCTTCAAGATGAACGTGAGTTGGTCAGTAAGCTCCAGTGTCTTCGCATTCTGAACCAGGTGTCTATTATAAGATTTTCGGGCACACAGGAATGAAAGGTGGAGGTAACACTGCAGAATGGGCAAACTATCCTGGTACGTGAGCAGTTTCTCTTGAACTCTAGCTCCTATTTACGTAGAAGTAACACAGAGTCCGCGGTGTGGATGGTATGTAACTGAAATAATCCACCTTTTAGGGCGAGGTTCTGATTCATAAAGTAGATGTTCCATGTTTGGGACCACTTCGATCATACCAACGACGTCGATTGGTGGAAATCACAAGGGTGGCCTCTGGTTAAGGCATGTTACTCTTAGTTGCATCATTCTAAATTTCGCTGAAGAAAACCTGCAGGGAGTAGCCAGCTTCCATCTCGATAAACTGATTCCGGACCTTCATTTCAATGATTCGACGTTGGTTGTAAATCCTTGTAATTCGCCAGAACAGGTACCCATTACTTTAGGTACGCACTGCTTTGATTTTTTTACATTCGCGTTTTCCTTCCATCCTTTCCGTACCTTTTCTGACAGCGTTCTTTCGGTTTGATACCCAGGGTGTGCCCATGCCCAACAAATGATATGGCAGCTCTTCAATGCCGTTGAGAAGGGTTTCGCAGCTTCTGGAGATTTAGATGTAGAGTTCCTTGCTGGTGAGGCTGATCCAAGCTGTTTTCTTGGCTGTGACCTAATACCCTGCTACGTCTTACAGAAGTACAAGCAAAGCGCGCACAGATGGACAAAGGTCTTAAAATCGGTTCCTGGGGTCAACTTCAAGGTTTGTAAACATCCTTTGACTTTTCCGATCATTGTTAATTCCGCCTTGTATCAGAATGGAAAGTCGAGAAAGATTCTCCTACGGATACGCACCGTCATCTCTCCCATCTCGTTGGATTATACCCTGGCTATGCCATTACCAACTTCGATCCATCCCCTCTGTCCAAGGGAATGGACCTGCAAAAAAATATACAAAGGATCAGATTTTGACGGCCGCCAGCGTCAGCCTTATTCATCGTGGCAATGGAACAGGGCCAGACGCAGACTCCGGATGGGAGAAAGCGTGGCGTGCAGCCGCATGGGCTCAATTTGGGAACAGTTCTGAGTTCTATCACGAGCTCTCAGTAAGTTTCCTTCATACCGTTGTGAGCCTGCTCGCTGAAAATAACCTCGGCCCGTTCTAGTTTGCGATGCACGAGAACTTTGGCGCAAACCTCTTTAGCTTGTATAATCCCTACGACCCCGACCCAATTTTCCAGATTGACGCAAACTTTGGATTCCCGGCAGCGGTCATGGTGAGTGTGTTTTCGCAATAGACATGATCATAAACCTCACGAATTTTGGCAGAATGGACTCCTCCAAGCACCAGACATAGCAAGCCTTAACACCCCGCTCGTTATCACGCTTCTTCCAGCCCTTCCTCCGCAATGGCCCTCGGGGTCAATCCGGGGCGCGCGAGTCAGAGGTGGCATAACGGTTGACCTGAAATGGAGCAAGGGAAGGCCTACCAGCGCGACTTTTAGCGTGGATGTAGGCACAAACGTGAGGCAACGGCCCGTAAAGGTGGTGTATGCTGGTCGCGTGCTCGCTTCATTCGAGACTTCGGCTGGTTTGAAGAAACGCATCAGTACCTTCTAAGAAATTATGTGTGCATTTTTGCTCTAAAATCGTTCGAGATCAATTTCATTAGGATGCGTATCAATGATCCATGAAATTAATTATCGAGTGATTGTAGGAAAAACCTGGAGAAATAGCCAACAAGGAAGACAAGTGTGCATTGCGCGTTGCTTAGTAATAAATAGGGGCTTTCTTTTAGGTAATCATGATTAATCACGTAGTTGACAGCCTTCACTTCGACTTGTCCTACATTGTCGCTAAGTACTCTAGCGGCAAGAGGTCGACAGCGCAATCTCATACTCGAGTGCCTTCTATGTCTGATATTATCTTCGATTATGTCCCTGCCGAAGATCTGAGCGCTGCTCTTGAACTTGAACGAGCAGGTACGCGACCTCCTCATCGCTGTGTTCTGAAGCTTTTGACCTCTTCGCAGGGTTTACGCCAGAAGAGGCTGGCACAGAAACCACCTTTAGGTACTCCTATGCTATTCCAATTAATCAGACGAATCTTCTGATGAACTTCAGATTCCGCCAGTCTCATGCACCGCAACTCTTCCTCGGCGCCTACCAATCTGGAACGGAATCGCGAACACTGATAGGATACGTGTGCGCCACCCAATCCCCAGAATCATCTTTGACACACGACACCATGACAAAGCATGTCCCCGATTCTTCTTCCGTGTGCATCCATTCCGTATGCGTCGCTCCTTCATACCGGAGCAAAGGTGTTGGGCTCGCGCTGCTGAAGGAATACTTCGTGCGTCTAGAAAGGGCTAGGTCAGAGGGTACTGCGACTTGGGAACGCGTTCTGCTTATCGCACATGACGATCTTGTACCTTTTTACGAGAAGGCCGGGTTCGAGAACGCAGGCAAGAGCAGTGTCGTGCATGGCTCCTTACCGTGGTTTGAGATGCGGAGAATTCTGACCTCGCCACTCAAATCGACAACGGAATCTCCTGTTCAAATGCTTCAGGGAGACCAGCAAATACCGCCAGGAGTTTTGGAGGCCTTGCAGCGTCGGAGGGATGTACCCTCTTCAAGGTTACTTTCCGATTTTCCT